ACCATCTCTCCTTACTTATTTTGGCATTCTGGTTTTCAATGATGATTGTAATTTTTGCGATTTGCATTAAGCCTAAACGTTGTATAGCATACAGAAAAACTTTTCAATTTCCTCTTCTGTACTTTGTGCCGTCAGTGCGTATGCAACTACGGTGGGTATGAAGGTTTTCCTTTCAGCTTAAGAATAATACTTTCAGATAGCTGACAGTATCCCAGAACACATTTCTTTATGTCTTTATTTAATATCAGTCCTACTCCTCTTTCATTTTCTCTCCGTCTGTATATATGATGCTGTGTTTGTAACCGATAAAACCTGCATTGTTTACACAAACTGTTTCACATACTTCTAAAATATTAAAAGTTCATTCCCCTCCTTATATTTTCGAAATGACTACATTGGTTTAGTGAATTATTATCACAGGTCACTATTCAATCAAGAAATGGTTCATTCGAATTTTGTAAATGCAGCATCGAACACACTTCAAAACGTCGAACTCTTTGATTTCCACTGAGTTCATGTGGAACCCATTTATCGAATTTCTTCACCTTGCCAATTTTCTTGACATGGCCCGATATTGTTGAAAAACTGACACTCATTATCTGAGACATTTCTCTGACAAGCTGACGTCCGTTTTGTTCGACTAGCGTTTTCAGATGATGATAAAATCAATTATATGGACATCCCCTACAACCTTGAACGTCAAGACTCGTATCCACACTGGGGAACATCAAAAACCAGCTCCGAGTTGTCCAATCACAAGTGGGTCCTTCACCCCATACTCTGTTAATAATTTGCAGCAGTTTGAGAAGCATCATAGCCCAGCTTAAACTCATGCAAAAACAGTAAACGCACCAGTTTTATGTTCAAGATGATGAGTATATAATGTTTTAATTCTGTATCAGATCAATATAAAATTAACAAAGAGGACAATTTAATCATCAAGAAATTTATAATAATTTATTGGAACATTAAAAGGTTTGTTCTAACGGACAACCTAATATTATTATTATTATTATTTCCCTTGATTTATGTTGTATACGACTTTCCTTTCGGGAAGACACCTAAAATCAAAAATAGCATTATGCCATTTTCATTGAACATTTTTTTAACTTAAATACACACACATTTGAATGATAAATCCCTTTGTAAAATGTGAACTGTGATTGTGAGAACATTTTTGTTTGTATTTCTTTAAAGCATGAACTACCAGGGATCTCTTCAATGAGTCTATCGCAACCTTTTCCAATCAAACCGAGGGTTCCGACTACAATTGGAATTATTGCTGTCTTCATGTGTCATATTTTCAAGATTTCTAATTCAAGATCTTTATATTTTGATAATTTGTTAAAGATCTTCAGATATACATTACAATCTGCAGGAACTATTATGTCAATGAGAGTATTCTGAAACATTATAAATACATGAATATTTTTACAGAAAAGACATGCACATTACGTTTTTGTGGTCTTTGACCCCAATGTCCGGGCGATTTGCTTTGAATGTTCTGTCTGAAGTTCCATAAATTTGTTACAGGTCTTATCTCTGTAGCCGAGTCTGGGTATTGTTTGTACACATTTCTTGTAGTTTCCTTTGCAATTTTTTTTTTATTCATTTGATTGCTGTTTTATACACATTTCCTTCTGGGTCAACACCAGAGACATAAGGTCAGAAATGGTTTCATGACATTTTACACTGATTCTTTTTTGTAAAAAGATCACACACATTTTACATAGATATAGCTTTCCTAATGTATGAGCTATACTTGTGAGTATAATTTTTTGTTACCAGGAATCCCTTCATGATCCTTGTATTTTGTTAGTTTGATAAGATCTTCAAAAATAGATGACAGTCTGCAGGAATTACCATGTTAATAAGAAAGCACATTACGTTTTTGTAGAATTTGATCACTATTATTATTATTATTATACATAGCTACATACATAGATAATCCGTGCGAGACAGAAAAAAGATGATAGTATTCTGAAACATTATAAATACATGAATATTTTTACAGAAAAGACATTTATGTATTCGATGGAAGACTGTCTTTTTTTCCTCGTTAACAACATCGCAACAGTAGCGAAAAGGGAAAACTGAACGTATTTGTGCGACCATTTCTGGGAGTGGCCTCTTATCTTCCCTCTCATTCAGAACCGCTGCTACACAATATGATAATGAAATATTAAATTGACTCCAATAGAGCCAATGTTTGATCAGTGGAAAAAGCGATGCAAAAATGTATTTACAGTAATTTATTTTAACTTTGTCGAACACTTTTACACTGTAATGTATATTTGCGTGTGAATTAACTGCGTGTAAGGGTTAGTAAAATGTTCTCTAGTATAATCACTATGTAGTGAGTTTATTCCTCACTGGGTGCTATATTCTTGTGAATTTGGCCTAAAACTAAGATGAGAATTATAATTAACAAAAATGCGGATGTTTTTTATTAAGCATTTCACCCCAAATAAGATGATAACGCGACTAAGACACTAGACTGAGTTTGAAAGAATCTGAGAAATGCTTTATTAAGGATAGAGAACAATAAAAGAAAAGGAATTAAGAAAACAGAAGATAACGATTGACATTGCATTTAAATTTTTGAAGATCAAATTTGACTGGAGAGCAAGAAGCCAGAAGAGTGTTCTACAAGCGAGAATTGCGAGAGAAGAAACTGTTAGAATAAAACTTACGGTTACATGTAACCATTTCAACTTTTAAATGAGGAGACATTACGAGGTACCAAAGAGGAAAGTTTATCAGAAGAATTACCATGAAAATTGTAATTATATTTAAATGACTACCTAATTAAAGCATAGCGATTATATAAGTACCCAAGCAGTAAGAGAGTGGGAAGAATACGATATGTGAGATTAACGACTGTCGCTGTATTGAGAAAATACGAATATAACCAGATTTGATAACAGAAACATTTATAGAAAAGGCAGAGGGAAGCTACTTGACGATGCTGGGAAAGTAAATGAAACCGAGATGCCAGGTTAAGAATAATCATATTGCATATTCTTCATTAAATTTTACCAAAAATATTTAAATACATAGCAAGAGAACCAAACCAGATATGCCAATCATATTCAATAAATGTTTAAAGGCCTGTCGTGATTGGACAAAATTTAACAATTGTAGACTTTCGTACGTTCTATATTTTTATAAAATTTATTCCCGTTATTATTTGCAATTGTTTTCTGTTTGTTGTTTTTAGTTTTTTTTTTTCGTTAATCTTCCTGGCCATCAATCCTCCTGGGGTTACCGTTTCTCCTCCATTCGTTCTACTCAACAATAGTTCCTATCAGACTTTCTAATCAAAAACAACCGTACGATCAATTTCAACACAAAATAATGCAATTTTATTGCATTTAATTCTAATAAACTGAACATCATCACAGTTACAGTTTATTCCCCAAATACTGGTTCACTAAATTTCATTTTTTCTCTTCTTTTTCTCGTTTCAATTTTAAATTAAACGTTCGATTCTTTTATTACGGCCTAATGGACTAAAAGAAACCATATTTACCTTTAGACGTAAATAAAAAATAAAACAGTTTTCAGAATTTAAAGTAACCTTAGAAAATAACAGTAATAACACAAAAAAATCTATTTATTCATTCTTTAAAAAAATAGATTTCGAAAGAAATAAAATCGTTCGCGATGCACTAAGGAAAACCTTTAAACTGACAACGTTTTTCACTCGATTGAGTGGCGTTTGCTGTGTCAAATTCTAAGCGCTTATCTGAAACAAATGATTTCGTTTCGAATTTGTCGTGTTGATATTTCAGAAAAATAAAATTGTGAAAGAGTCTTCTCAAACTTTTACATGAGAGAATTCTACGCCTCGAAATATTACAAACAAGAGAAAATAGATTTTTCAATGACAAAATGGTCGTCCGGTGGATGAGTTTTTTAATGATTTTTTTTATTTTATTGATAAATTTCAACTCACACATTTCATCTTTACAAAAGTCTCTCATCTACAACCACAAACATATCACAACATACAGTTTATGTTTAAGCGGGACTTGTTTTTAGCGATACAAGATTGAATGTCAATGAGGTATTGCACGGATAAATAGAATCAAAGTTAGAATAACGTATCTAATAATTTATTAATCAAATTAATGTTCTTGATATTTATATTTTATACTCACACTGAATAGGGCTGTTATGTTTAATAAATAAGAAATAACGAAATGTTCAAAAATATTACTCAGTCATTGACTTGTTTTTTGCGGCTTATCCATCGTTTGCAGGTTATTTAAAGCCAGAAAATATTTTTAGATTTTTTTTTTTTTAGGTTTAATGCTACAAGTTTTAATTAACTCATAGTTTTGGAGAAGAAATGGTTTCATACCTCATCAGAATTTTATAATCAAACAAGAAATTATAATGTGGAACATAAAGTGTGGGGTCAGTTCTATAATACAATCAATATAAAAACTGATCCCTCACTTTATGGCCACAGTAGTTTTTATACATTTATATTCCAGAGAATGTAAATAAATCTAAAAGACGTGTCTGTGTAGCTAATCAGAATTTTATTGATTTATTCATTCATTTTCTACGGCTTATCAACAAACAAGGAATTATAATGTGGATATAAAGTAGGAAATCAATTCTACATTACAATCAATATAAAAACTGATCCCCCACTTTTTGACCAGGGTAGTTTCTATATATTTATGTTCCAGAGAATGTAAATCAGTATTTTATTGATTGATTGATTGATTGATTCGTTCTCTACGATATATCAATATTTTTATTTAAAGCCAGAGATTTTAAGATTTTTTTTTTTATATAATAATGATTTAGTGATACAAGTCTTACTAATTAACCTATAACTTCAGGGAGAAAAGGTGGATTTATACATTTCCCGATGGTATTTGCGTGTAAGTAAATATAACGAGCTCAGCGGGAATTGGAACTCGGCTCTCCGATTAACAATTCCAATCCATTTTCCATTAAACTACTCGCACATCCAACCTTATAACATCTGGTGATTCCCAAGCGGTCACCCATCTAGGCACTGACCTGGCTCAACGTTGCTTAACTTACGTGATTGTACGCGAACTGGTGTTTCAAATTCAGTCAGTCAATTAAGTGTCATACATGATACACGCTTGGGCGATCATGTCTCTTTCGATTCATGACTGACTAGGCAGAAGATTTTCCCGCAGTAGGTTGCCGTTTCTTTCTATGGTAGACTGGTTGCCAACCAAGGCTATAGAACTCACTCTGCCCTGCTATTCAACCATGATAACAACAGTCAGTCTGTTAAATGCCATACGTGATACACGTTTGGGCGATCATGCCTCTTTCGATTCATGACTAACTAGACAGAAAATATTCTCGCAATAGTTTACCATTTTCTTTCTACGGTAGACTGATTACCAACCAAGGCTCCGTCTGTCCTGCTATTTAACCCATAAGACATGGATTCATATATTTCCCAAGGGAATCTGTGCGTAACAAACCCGACTGGAATTCGAACTCGCTTCTCTGATTTCTCATTCGGAGCTGATGTCCATTACGCCACAATGTAAAAACAAAGAATAAATTTGACTAAAAATATTAGTAAACTGTAAAGTGGTGTTTCTTTTTTCATTTATTTTAAATAAAACAGTTAACACAAAACATTTCAGTAAAATCAATATACCGTATATACATGTATATAAGTCTACTTCATGCATAATTCGACCCCAGAAATTTTTGTTCATATAACTCGAATATATAATGTGACCCAAGCTTCTGGGAAATACTAGTAGGCCCACCATAATCAAATATTGCAGTCCTGGGCATCATCTTGCATATATTTTATAGCAGATAAATGGTCTTTTTTTTTTGTACAAAGCTACCCTAAAATGGCGAGAGAAAAATTACCTTAAAATATCTGAGACGAAGGTTTAGATGAGTACATTAGTTTTTGTTTATACCTGACGACGGTAACTCCTTTACCCTGGGCCTGCCCCCTATGTAAGTCTAAGTTTGTTCCCTTTTGTCGCTACATAAATAGCAAAACCTCATCTAATACGTGTGCCACTTAAAATGTAAACACGTGCAAACGAATGAACACAAACTATAGAAAGAAAAGAAAACAAATGTTAAGTCTTCATTTATATAAGGTATTTGTAGATTTTAAGCGGCATGCACAGTAAATGGCGTTCTGCTGTTCAGGTAGCAACAGAAAAATAATTCTAGGCTACGAGAGTCAGGCTAAAGGAGCTTATCTCTAACGTTAACGTCAGACAGTCTGTTTCAAACGCAATGGCATGGCCTGACGATTGCGTTTAGCAGGAAACATACTATCGTCTCCGGGTGTTGGCTTCAATGCCCACTTTTATATACAGAGTATTTTAAAAATACTTTTACAAACTTTGGAACGGGTTTCACACACCAAAACAAAGACAAAAGTTCATATGTCCGTAAATCCTTCAATTTTTAGATTTTAAGTTTAAAGAAATTTTATAGTAGATGACACTATGTTACCATGTAGAATGAGTTACATTTGTCATTCATGTACATTTATGGCTAATAGGTCTTCAATGTTTAACGTTTGTAGTAGTGAGTTATCTGAGAAGTGTTCCGTTTAACAATGGCAGGATATTCATATCGTGAACAGGCAGATATGACTTTTACATACGGCCGCGTGAATGGTAATGGACGCGAGGCTGTACAGCTGTATCAGATTTGTAAAAAGGGTTAATGAACTTTTATCTAAGTTTGATTTGTTTGAAAACAACATAAACATTTATGTTAGTATTTAAATCGAAAAATAAAGTGTCTTTTTTAATAAAAAATATGGGGATAATCAGCCCCTAGCAGTGAGCAGTGAGATATGTTTCTATCAAAAAATCAAAAAACAGTGAAGTTTATTTTTTAAAGATTGAATAAAAAATTATTTTCCATAAGATCGCTGAAAAATGTCAGTAAATTGTCAATAATAAACTATTATTCAGAGATCTTCCGAGCAACGCCGAGTATCTCCGCTAGTATATATATATATATATATATATATATATATATTTTTTTTTAAATTGGAATTAAGATACCTTTAGTGAATCTAAATGTATCTTAATTCCAATTGTAAAGATATATATATATATATATATATATATATATATATATATATATATATATATATATATATATATATATATATATATATATATATATATATATATATATATATTGTAATCTACATCTCAATAAAAAATATACAAAACATTATCACACAATTTATACACATATATGTGTACGGATGTAGAAAAATATAGGCAATATGTAACTACAAAATATAACAATATATAATAATATTTATAAAATTATAAAAAAATTAAAGTATGAAAAAGTTATGCTTTTTTCAATTTAATTTGTAGAATGACAATCTTTTGTAATAAAAAAAAACAAAAAACACGCGCTTCTGTCCATAAAATAAAACTTCTTATTTACCCTAACGAAAAAAAAAAGAAAACTACAAAATTTCAATTACTTTATGGTCTTTTTAATCATTTCGACCAAAGCAAGGTAATAAAGCCACTAAGACACAAGGAGTTACTAAGAGTGAGATACTATTAGAAAAAAAAACACACACTACTAATAAGACAAAAATAACAGAACAAGTTTTAAGAAAACAGAAGATAACAATTGAACTTGCATTTACATTTTGGAAGGATCAAAATTGACTGGGAAGCAAGAAGCCGAAAGAAAGCTCCATAAGAGAGAAGTATGATAGAAGAAAATGTTAGCATAGAACATCAAACCATTTAAACTGTAAAATGATGAGACCTAGCTGCCAATCTAGTACTGTGCTTGAATTCGTAGAGTTTAGGTACCATAGAGGAAAGCTCACCAGAACAATTACCAAAGAAATATTTATAGAACAGGCACAGAGAAGTTACGTTACGGCAGTGGTAAAGTGACTGAAACCGATATACCATATCAGGACCGATGATATTGCAAATTCTTCTTTGGATCTTATCAAGAATCTCTAGATATATGGCAGGCGCACCAGACCAGATGTGGCAGCAATATTCAAAGTTTGGATGAATGGTAAACTCATAAATATGTGAGATAGATTCTGGCCATAAAAAAGGTCTCGCACAATACAGCAAAACAACTTTCCTAGCAGCATACTTAGTAATCGATTCAATATAATATTTCCACTTTCAACCCCAGCGGAAAACGTTAATCTGAGAAGACGAAACGAGTCAATACCGTGGAGGTTAGCATCAGCCATACGGATGAAAGGTCAAAAGAGCTCTCTCAGATGATTAAAAGAGAGCAATTTCTTTTTGGTGGCATTAAAATTAACAAGCCGTTCGTTTCCCCAGTTAACAACAGATTGAAGGCCATGATTTAGATTTGTCAATTTGACCTCATCAAACCAATCGCACTTACTATTAAGACAGGAGGTGTGTTATCGGCATAATTACTGAGTTGAGAACTGATGATATCAGTAATGTCGTTGATGAAAATTAAAAATTACATATGACCAAGAATATAGCCCTGGGGCACACCTGCATTAATGCAAAAGTCTACCTGAAAAGGAAAGAAAAGCGGCTCTTAATGCTTCTTATACATGCAAAGAACTGTCATTGTATCAGATGAATGAACATTTTGTGAATAGACTGTAAAATGAATCAAGTAATTCGTGCTTAAATTGAAAAATACCAGAGAAATGGAGACTGAGTAACCTTTGAAGCACTAGAGTGCAGAAGTGAGGCGATGAACCTCTACTTCTGTTCAATAAATATGGAAGGGGTGCATATCGGACGATAGGTGAGCCTATCTATTTACCTGTAAACAAAAAAGTACATAAAATACGAAAGAATTCATATTAAGTAATAACTTATATATTCTGATGACTACTATCAACTAAAAAGATGGGATGGAAAAACTTAATTCACACTTGTCGCGACAAAATTTCAACATTAATAAGTAACAGAAGCTAAGCACATTCTAATTTATAAACAGGTTGTGGGGAGTGAAAGTTTACTAATTAATACGCAATGGAGAAAAGAAAATAAAGAACAAAGAAGTAAGGAGAAATTAAAACATCAGAAACAAAAGAACATTTTTTTAAATTTAATTATTTAGAAACAACAGGATGTCACAAGGCATTGTAAGTTACGCTTCAATTGCTTCTTTACAATATTTAAATTCGATATTTTTTTTTACAGGCAGAACAGGCTGACTTAATTTCATTGGTGCTTTAATAAAATGATTTATTTATTTCCATGACCGAAAGCATACGACTATCTCCCACTTGGGATGGGTGCTATATATATATATATATATATATATATATATATATATATATATATATATATATCGATTGAATAAATCACAAACGTTATGTCTGCTTATTTTGATCATAATCCTTTGATATTCACGACTATTTTTCCATATATTACAATTAAATAAGGCAAGAAATACACTGTAAAAGTGACAATCACTTTTAATTCCCAAGTACAATCAGACACGCCTAAAAGATAATTTGCTGCCTAAATACACAATATTAGACACACAATTGAATGAGGCAAATTAAAATGCAGGTTTATAAAGTTTTAACTTGCTATAAGTACCAATATCCAATTTCTTGGAAAAGCGTCAAGACAAAACTCCCGTTCAATTTACCACTGAGGGAAAACTCTCATTAAATGCAACAACACACACACACACACACACACACACACACACACATATATATATATATATATATATATATATATATATATATATAAGAGTCGACAAAATACAAGTCGGAAAAGAAAGAGAAGATAGATAAAGATGAGAATATGAATCGGCTTTTTCTACTTTCTCCTATGGATTAAATAGCAAACTTGTATCTTTATCGTTGGTTAGCAGCCAATCTAAAAGGAAAACGTCTCTGTCTTCAAGACCGTGGATAAGGCATCGGGAAACCACTCTACCTTTCAAGTCATCAATTCAAAGATAATAATAAAACAGAATATGTGGAGGGCTATGATCGCGTACCTCCTGATATTAAAAAAAACGGAGAAAGATGAAAGAATAGCGATTGTAATGATTTATTCTAGTTTAATAATTTTACACGTCTATAGTC